AAATGAACTGCTCTGAAACAGTGGGAAGAAACCAGGAACAAAGGCTGAGTTCAAATGCTCCAGAGTAAACAACTCCTTCCTCACCAAAAGGTCTGAGCTCCCCTTAACTCATCTCTAGACATCCTGGAAATAAAACAGCCTGACCTTGAACCCAAGGGAAACAAAGACAAATTCCACGGCTTTAGCTGGAGCAAGGTTGGAGGGGGGAGTTGTCACTCCTCTGTGACATCACATGTTCCTCGTGACATCACATCCTTCCTGTCACATCACACTTCTCCTATGACATCACATCTTCCCTATGATGTCACATCCATCATATGACATCACATCTCTCCTGTGATACCAAATCATCCCTGTGATGTCACCTCCTCCCCTGTGACATCACATCGTCCTTGTGACATCACGTCCTCCCCTCCGACATCACATCCTCCCTGTCACAGCACAGCTCCCCTATGACATCACATCCGTATCGTGACATCAAGGCTCCTCGATGACATCACACCCATCATACGACATCGCACCTCTCCTGTGATATCATATAATCCCTATGACATCCATCCTTCCTGTGACATCACATCTCTCTGTGATATCGTATCATGCCTGTGACATCCCGTGCTCGCCTCTGACATCACATCCTCCCCTCTGACATCACATCCTCCCCATGACATCACAGCTCCCCTATGACATCACATCCTTCATGTGACATCATGTCCTTCCTGTGACATCACACTTCCCTGTGACATCACATCTCATCTATGACATCACAGCTCCCCTATGATGTCACAACCATCATATGACATCACAACTCCCCTGTGATATCATATCCTCCCTGTGATGTCATGTCCTCCCCTGTGACATCACATTCATCCTGTGACGTCACAGCTCCCTTATGACATCACATCCATCCTATGACATCACATCTCCCCTGTGACATCACATCCAGTGACATCCAGATCCATCCCAAGGTTGGGGGTGTGTCAGACAGGCAGAACCACAAATGCCTGCACAGCCCAGAGCAGTCAGTGTGGGGCTGTGCTTGCTGCTGCAGAGACCCCCAGGGAACAAACCCAGGCAGGAGTTTGGGGGGGGTGTCCCTAAGGAGGACACTTGCCTTATTCTTGCTTATTATTTGTAATATCTTATAGATCTATCACACAACAGCTAAGGATGGATTCTATAGAATATGTGCCAGAGATATTTGGGTTGGGTCTGGCTGAGCTGCAGTTCAGTTCCCCACAGCAGCCCTCCCAGGGCTGGGCTTGGCATTGGCAGCTGGAAGGGGGTTGAGAACACCCCAGTGTTTTGGCCACTGCTGAGCACAGCACCAACACTGGGACATTCCTTCCTTAGCTGAGGGCAAGAGCCTGGCAGGGGACCCAAGTAGGCCAGCTGAGCCCAACTGACCCAAGGGACATTGCAGACCATGGGAGGTCAGCTCAGCTCTAAAAGCTGAGGCCCGGAGCAGGAGGGGGGCATTCATTGTCTGATGGCTGCCTGCTGAGGAACCCTCACAGGTACCCAAGCCCTGCTCCTCGGGAGTGGCCGACCATGGCTGCTCATGGGGAGCAGAGAACAAACCCTGCTGTCTTTGGCTTCTGCGTGCACAAGCATCGCTTTGCTTTTTGCTTTAAATAAACTGCCTTATCCCAACCCACGAGTTGTTTTTTTCCACCTTGCTCCTTCTCCTGTCCCACTGGGAAGGGGAGTGATAGAGCAGCTGGGAGGGCACCTGGTGTCCAGCCAAGGTCAACCCACCACACACCTGAACACTTCCAGAGACTCCACCCCCTCCCTGGGCTACTTGTTCCAATGCCTGAACACTCCCTCAGTGGAAAAAGGTTTCTTTAATATCTAATATGAACCTTGCCCAATGCAATTTAAGGCCATTCCCTCACAACCTTTCACTATCGTCTTGGCAGAAGAGACCAACCCCCACCCCACTAAAACCTCCTTTCAGGTCACTGCAGAGAGCAATGAGGTCCCCCCTGAGCCTCCCCTTCTCCAGACTCAACCAGCCCAGTTCCCTCAGCCGTCCCTCAGCAGACATGTTTTCCAGAGCCTTCCCCAGCTCCGTTCCCTTCTCTGGACACACTCCAGCCCCTCAAGGGCCTTTTTGCACTGAGGGGCCAGAACTGGACACAGCACTCCAGGTGGGGCCTCCCCAGTGCCCAGCACAGAGGGGCAATCAGTTCTCTGCTCCTGCTGGCCACACTCTTCTCCACAAAGGCCACGATGCCCTTGGCCTTCTTGCCCCTCTGGGCACACTCTGGCTCATATCCAGTCTCTGTCAAGCAGCACCCCCAAGTCCCTTCCTGCTGAGCAGCTCTCAAGCCCCTCTGCCCCCAGCCTGGAACGTTCCAGAGGGTTGTTGGGACCCAAGGGCAGGCCCTGACACTTGGTCTTATTGATCCAGCCTGTCCAGATCCCTCTGCACAGCCTTCCTGCCCTCCAGCACATCCACACTCACACCCAACGTGGTGTTGTCCATGACTTTCCTGAGGGGGCACTCGATCCCCTGGCCCAGATCATCAAGAACGGTGTTAAACAGGAGCAGCCCCAACCCTGAGCCCTTGGGAACCCCACTAGTGACCGGCCCCACCTGGATTTCCTTCCATTCCCCACCACTCCCTGGGTCATCAGCCACTTTGTCACCCAGCAAACAGTTCCCTGGGCAAGCCATGAGCAGCCAGTTTGTGCAGGAGATGCTGGGGGAGATGGTGCCAAAGGCTTTCTGGAATTCCAGAGAGACACATCCCCAGCCTTTCCCTCAGCTGCTGAGCGGGTCCTTGGTCAGAGAAGGAGATGAGGTTGGTCAGGCAGGACCTGCCTTTCCCAACCCCACACTGGTTGGGCCTGATCCCCTGGTTGTCCTGCCCGTGCCATGGGATGGCACTGAGGAGGATCTGCTGCATGGACTTCCCCGGTCCTGAGGTCAATGGGACAGGCCAGGAGTTGCCCAGATCCTCCTTTTGGCCCTTCCTGGGGATGGGCATCCCATTTGCTTGTTGCCAGTCAGCTGGGACTTGTGCAGTTGTGCAGCACTGCTGGGGAATGAGTGAGAGTGGCTTGGCCAGCTCTTTCTCCAGCTCCCTCAGGACTCTTGGCTGCATCCCATGTGGGCCCAGGCACTTGGGGGGTCTCACTGGCAGAGCAGGTCACTGACCATTTCCTCCTGCATTCTGGGGGCTTCACTCAGCTCCCCATCACCAACTGCCAGCCCTGGGAGCTGGGGATCCTGAGGACAACTGCTTTGGCTGTTAAAGACTGAGGCAAATAAAGCAATAAGTAACCTCATGGAACCAAGGACCACTGGGACACTGCAGGGCCTTCTGGAGCCCTGGGACACTGGGCAATCTCATGGAATCAAGGCAGCACTGTCACCCTGGGAAAACTCCTGGAATTCAGGGCCCATTGTGACACTGCAGGTGTCACACATGGAACAAAAGGAACCCTGGGATGCTGCAGAAACTCCTGGAACCAAGGGACCATTGTGACATTGAGGGGGCTGATGGAATCAGGAGGCCATTGGGACAATCCAGGGCCTCATGAAATCAAAGGAATTCTGGGACACTGTCAAACCTCCTGGAACCAAGGGTTCCTGGTGACATGCGTGTCCTCCTGGAACCAAGGGAGCCCTGAGATACTTCTGAACCTCCCAGAATCCAGGGGCCATTGGGACCCTGCAGAACCTCCTGCATTCAAGTGCTCCTTGTGAAACTGCAGGCTCTCCTGGAACCCAAGGATTCCTGGAACACTGCAGAGCTCACAGAACCAAGGGGTCACGGTCCCACTGCAGCTGCTTCTGAAGCACAAGGGACCCTGGGACAACGGGATATCTCCTGGAATCCAAAGGGCATTTTGGGACTGCAGGGCCTCATGAAACTACAGGAACCTTTGGAGACTGTGGAAGCTCATGGAATCCAGGGGCCATTGGGACATGTGGGGCCTCCTGGAAGCAAAGGAACCCTGAGAATTTCTGTGGGAACAAGTTAAGGCAGCAGCAGCTGCATTCAGTTAATCAGGATCAACCAGGAGTGTTTTGGCCCTGACTGGTGTTTTCCATCCAGAGAGGGCTGTTTGCCAAAGTGGAAACCACTTGGAACGCTCTGCATGGCAGCCTGGGTTTTTCTCTGGTGGCTGAACACAGCCAGCACATGAGGGAAGGGGAATGTGTGGGATCAGGGCACTGCTTTGGGGCCGTGCTGGGAATTCCATTGGATTAAAAGACAAAGCCCAGGCGCTGTTTCCAAAGGAACCCCAATGAAAGGGGGACGTGGAAAGATGGGCAGACAAGTCCTGTAATGGAACTCTGTGTGTGCAGCCTCATTTTCTCCTTCAGTGCCCACAGGAGAGGGGGTAAAAAGTGGGGGTTGGGATCCCAAAATTTTTTTGAGGGGGAATTGGGGATTGAGGGGACAATGGGAAAGTGGGAGGAACAAGGAGAAGGGTGGAAAAGGGGGGTGGTCTGGCGGGTCTGACAGTCCCATGGGGGTCTTTGGGCACAGGGGGGTTGGGAAAAGGGAGTGGCCCCCCTGAGCTCCCAATTTCCTGTGGGGTGCTGGGGGCTGCTGGATCCAATCTCAGCCTTGGATTATGCCAACACTTTCAGTTTAGAGGAATTACAGAGGTGTGACTGAACCACTTTTGTCCCCCAGGTTTTAATGATGGCAAATCAGATCTATTGATAGAAATGAATTATTTAGGGTTACAAATGATCAGACAAAAGATCTTCATCACAATTAATTACTGCACAATATACACACTAAAACTACCAGGAGTACAGGATAAGATAGAACAGTGCTCTACACTAAAGCAATTGTTGAAGCAATTCTACTAAAGCTGGCACAAAAGCAATAATTCTTAATTAGAGATGGATGGAACTTCCCCAGACCAACGCTCGTGGGGAGATCTCTGCTCTCAACCTCCAGCAGTGACCTTGGGGGGTCACCAGCCAAGGCAGGAATCTCCACACACCTCCCCAGGAAGGGTCCTTTTGGAAGAACCTGCCCCTGGGAAAGGGGACTGGCCCTTTCTGGTCGAAAGGGATGGACTGACAGTCACTGGACTCCTGGGGTTGCCTCCCCATCAGGGGGTTCATTGAGGGTGGAAGCAGCGGTCGAAGCTCTTCCTGCAGTCAGGGTACTCAGGGGTTTCCCTTACCGGTGGGTCCGTTGGTGTGAGGTCAAGTTAAAGCTCTGGGTGAAGCTCTTCCCACACTCCCCACACTTGTAGGGCCTCTCTCCGGTGTGAATGCGCCGGTGCCTGACGAGGTGGGAGTTCTGATTGAAGCTCTTCCCACAGTCGGTGCAGCGGAAGGGCCTCTCATCCGTGTGCGTCCGCTCATGCCTGAGGAGATTCTCTCTGGTCCGAAACCTCTTCCCACAATCCAAGCACTTGTAGGGCCGTTCCCCAGTGTGGATGCGATGGTGTTTGCGGAGGGTGGAGCTGTCACTGAAGCTCTTCCCACATTCCCCACATGTGTACGGACATTCTCCAGTGTGGATGTGCTGGTGGATGCGAAGGGTGGAGCTATGGCTGAAGCTCTTCCCACATTCCCCACACGTGTAGGGCCGTTCCCCGGTGTGGGTGAGCTGGTGGGTGCAGAGGTTGGAGCTCTGGCTGAAGCTCTTCCCACATTGCCCACACCTGTAGGGACGTGCCCCAGTGTGCATGTGCTGGTGTCGGATGAGGCTGAAGCTCTTCCTGAAGCTCTTCCCACATTCCAAGCATCTGAAGGGCTTCTCCCTGCTGGGAGGCTGCTCAGGGACCACCAGCTCAGAGCTCCCCCTCAAGCTCCGGCCGCCTTCCCGGCACAGGCTGGCTCTTTCCTCCTCAGAGCACCCTGGGCTGGCTTTGGAGCCCCCCCTGCGGGGGGATCTCCGGCCCTTTTCCTCCCCGCTGCCTTCCTGCGCCGGGGAGCCCTTCAAAACGGCCTCTCCCACCAGGGTCTCACGGGGGGATTTGTCCTCCGGGCTCTCTGTCCTCAGCTCGGGGCCTGGGGCAGGAAGCAACAAGGACAGGCAGGGGATTTGCCTCCGGCCCACAGGGAAGGCCAAGGACATCCCCCCAACTCCGGCCCCGGCAGGACGGCGGCGCCAGCGGGGTTGTCCTGCAGCCGGGGCCATGTTCGGCTGACAGAGCCAGCACAACACCCGCCCAAAGGGACACTGACTTCCTCCTCACCTGCCTGGGGGGACCAAGGCATCTTCCTCTTCCTCGCAGCCTCCTTCATCTGGTCAAGCTTTGGGAAGGAGAAATCCTGATGGGGGGGAAAACAAGGGCTGAGCGCGTTGGCTTGGGGGTTCCTCCTGTCCAAGTCCATCTCTAGAACTCACCGGGCATCCTGTGTCCATAAAAACCTCCAAAACACCAAGATTCAGCCCAGAGAAACCCAAACCACTAACAAGATTCACGCAAAAAGCCCCTCAGAAAGAGCAAGAAGACCCTCGCCACCCCAAACTGCAAAAAGTTAAGATTGAGCTAAAAATTACTCCAAAATATGAAGATTCAGGCCAAAAAAAGGTGATGAGGACTGAATTTAACCCTCCAGCAGGAAAGTCGTTTGATTTCAAGCTCGTCTTCAAGGCGCGCCCTGCGACTGGAGCCTGGGCTCTAATTAACCTCTCCTGTGCTGCCAAACAGCAGGATCTGTATGGCCAAGGGACAAACTGTGATCCCTGTCAGTGTCCATGGCCCCTGTCAGTGTCCTTCAGGGAAATTGGGAGGCGGAAATGAAGAAACTGGTTTGGAACTAAAGCCACGTTAAAGTGGGAAAAACCTCCTTCCATGCAAATAAAACTTAGTTTTTCCTGGGCTCATTCAGGGATGAAGGACTGGGACTTCTGTGGACACTTGTGCTGGTTTCTTTGGACACTCGTGTTCCTTCAGAGAGCCCCTGGAAACACTCTGCTGTTCACTCCCAGTGCCACCAATGCCGGGATCCTGTCTGCAGCAGCAGATTGCAGTGGGATGGGAGAAATGCTTTTCTGAGCCTCTGGGCTGGAGTAAGGCTGGGGGGGTTAGGCAGATTTGCAAGAGCAGGGGAATCATTCCCTGCAGCCCCTTTGCACTGTAGGAAATGGGAGCCCTGTGCACATCCTGCTGCCTCCAGATTCCATTCTGGGTGTGTGAACGACCCTGGGGAGCAAAGAAATGCCTGGTTGTGCAGGAGCTGCAGATGCTCAAGGGGCAGCAGGACCAAGTCAGGGGCCTGGGGAGGCCTGGGAGGCTTTGGGGTGCGGGAGGGTCCTGGGGGAGCTGGGGAGGGGCTTTGGGGATTGGGGGTACAGACCAGGACAGACCAGGACAGACCAGGACAGACCAGTACCTCCTCATTGCTCCCCAGATCTCTCCTGGAGCTGGGCCACGTTGTTGTGGGACACCTGAGCCCCTCCAGTGCCCTCCCAGTACAGCCCAGTGCCCCCAGTACAGCCCACTGTGTTCCTGTCCCAGGGTGCCAGGTGATCCCTCTTTGGGGAGGTTGGAAGGTGATTTGGGGGGTTTGGGGGGTCTTTGGGTGTATTTGGGGGAGTTAAAACAGGTTTTGGGGGCATTGGGGCATCAAAGGGATCTGTGGGGGGAGGGGATTAAAGGGAAAATGGAGGTTAGGGGACATTTGGGGGGAGTTAGAAAGGCTTGGGGGGAGAGAAGGGGCTGCACCATGAGCAGGTGAGTCCTGAGACCCCCCCGGTGTCCCCAAGACTCTCTTGGTGTCCCCAGTTCCCCCCTTGACACCCTGAGACCCCCCTGGTGCCTCCAGTGTTCCCAGGGACTTCCCACAGCCCCATTTCTCCCCTTGGAACCCCCAATTCCACTGTCCACAAACCCCTCCCCACTGTCCCCAAACCCCATCCCTGATGTCCCCAACCCTCCATCTCACTCCAGGAGCCCCCCCTTGGACCCTTTGACCACAAAAACGACCCCCTCCCACTCTCACAGAAAGGCCAAGGGCATCTGGGGACACGTTGGGGACAGTTGGGGGGTTTTGGGGGGCAATGGGTGATTCCTGGAGGATACTGGGACACACTGCGGGGAACCAGGGGGGACTGGGAGGGACTGGGGGGTTACCGAGGAATGCTCAGAGGGCACTGGGAGGGACTGGAGGTGAACTGGGGCACACGGGGAGGTTACTGGGCCATACTGGGGGTTCATGGGTGCTCACTGGAGGATCACTGGCCCATACTTGAAAGCAGTGGGAGGTCACTGGGACACACTGGGTGGTCACTGGGGGGTTACTGGGCTGTACTGAGGGTCACTGGGAGGTCATTGGGATACACTGGGGGTACTGGGATCCCCTTACCCAGATGTGGTACATCTCCCTCCCCTGGATTTTGGGGGGCATCCCTAGGACCCCTGGGGACTGGTGGACCCCATGAACCCACTGCTGAGCTTTAGGGGACTCCACAAAATCCCCTCAAAACCCATGAAATGCCCCCCTCGACCCATCGAAACCTCCTCAAGGTCCCCTCAAATCCCCTCAGAGACCTCATCCCTCCCCAGCACCCCCTAAACCCTCCCAGTGACCCGCAAAACCCACCTGGGACGCCCCAAGCCCATTCAGGGACCCCCCAATCTCCCTCAAGGACCCTCAAAACCGTCTGGGACCCCTTAAACCCCCCAGAGACCCCAAAACTGCCTAAAAGGTCCCCGCAAAGCCCCTCAGGACCCTCAAACCTCCTCACAGACCCCCAAAGCCCACCTGGGATCCCCCAAATCTCGTCAGAAACCAAAACCCCCTCAGAGACCCCCAAACCCCTTCAGGGACCTTCAATTTCCCCCCCCGAGTCCCCTCAGGACACTGAATCCCCTCAGGGACCCCTAAAAACGTCTCCGGGAACCCCGAACTCCTCCGCTAAACCCTCCCGAGCCCTTCAACCCACAGCCGCGCTCCCCGTAGCCCCCGAGGGGATCCCCAGACCCCGCTCTCGCCGCCCCCCCCGCCAGACTCACAACGACAAACAGACCCCGCCGCAATCACGGAATCCCGGAAGCCAAAATGGCGCTGGCTCTGCGCGCGCACCGCCTGGACTGACCCGCGCCGCAGCCAATCAGCGCGCGGCCACGGCCCCTGCCCGCATTCCGCCACGCCTTCGCCGCGCGCGGTGCATTGTGGGAGTTGTAGTCCTTGCGGCAGGCGAGGATAGGACTTTTTTGTTTTTAGCTTTTCTGTCTTTATTTTCTCCTTTTTTTTTTCCTTTTCTTTCTATTTTCTTTCTTCTTTATTTATTCCTCGTCTTGTCTTTCGTCCGCTCACGTGCAAAGGGCCGCTATGATCGTCCGCAAGGACTACAACTCCCACAGCGCACCGCGCAAAGCGCAGGCGCGGCGGCGAACGTGCGGGCAGGGGCCGCGCGCTGATTGGCTGCGGTGGTGTTTTCTGAACGCGGTGCGCGCGCAGAGCGTCGCCTTGGCTTCCGGGAATCGGGGATGGCGCCGGGGCCTGTTTGTCGCTGTAAGATCTGGCGGGGACTGTGGCGAGAGCGGGGCTCTGGGGATCCCCTCGGGGGCTGCGGGGAGCGCGGGTGTGGGTGGAAAGGCTGGAGGGCTCGGAAGGGTTTAGCGCGTGGGTTCGGGGGTTCTCGGGGACGTTTTGAGAGGTCCCTGAGGGGGTTTGGTGTCTTGAGGGGACTCGGGGGGGAAATTGAAGGTCCCTGAGGGGGTTTGGGGGTCTCCGAGGGAGTTTTAGTTTCTGAGGAGATTTGGGGGATCCCAGGTGGGCTTTGGGGATCTCTGAAGAGGTTTGAGGGTCCTGGGGGGCTTTACGGGGACCTTTTAGGCAGTTTTGGGGTCTCTGGGGGGTTTAAGGGGTCCCAGATGGTTTTGAGGGTCCTTGAGGGAGATTGGGGAGTCCCTGAATGGGCTTGGGGGGTCCCAGGTGGGTTTTGCGGGTCACTGGGAGGGTTTAGGGGGTGCTGGGGAGGGATGAGGTCTCTGAGGGGATTTGAGGGGACCTTGAGGAGGTTTCGATGGGTCGAGGGGGGGATTTCAGGGGTTTTGAGGGGATTTTGTGGAGTCCCCTAAAGCTCAGCAGTGGGTTCATGGGGTCCCCCAGCCCTCAGGGGTCCTAGGGATGCTTCCCAAAATCCAGGGGAGGGAGATGTACCACATCTGGGTAAGGGGATCCCAGTGCCCCCAGTGTATCCCAATGACCTCCCAGTGACCCTCAGTACAGCCCAGTAACCCCCTCAGTGACCATCCAGTGTGTCCCAGTGACCTCCCACTGCTTTCAAGTATGGGCCAGTGATCCTCCAGTGAGCACCCAGTAACCTCCCAGTGTGCCCCAGTTCACCTCCAGTCCCTCCCAGTGCCATCCCAGTGTCTTTCAGTAACCCCCCAGTCCCTCCCAGTCCCCCCTGGTTCCCCGCAGTGTGTCCCAGTATCCTCCAGGAATCACCCAGTGCCCCCCAAAACCCCCCAGCTGTCCCCAACCTGTCCCCAGATGCCCTTGGCCTTTCTGTGTGAGTGGGAGGGGGTCGTTTTTGTGGTCAAAGGGTCCAAGGGGGGGCTCCTGGAGTGAGATGGAGGGTTGGGGACATCAGGGATGGGGTTTGGGGACAGTGGGGAGGGGTTTGGGGACAGTGGAATTGGGGGTTCCAAGGGGAGAAATGGGGCTGTGGGAAGTCCCTGGGAAAATTGGAGACACCAGGGGGGTCTCAGGGTGTCAAGGGGGGAACTGGGGACACCAAGAGGGTCTTGGGGACACCGGGGGGGTCTCAGGACTCACCTGCTCATGGTGCAGCCCCTTCGCTCCCACCCAAGCCCCTCTAACTCCCCCCAAATGTCCTCTAACCTCCATTTTCCCTTTAATCCCCTCCCCCCACAGATCCCTTTGATGCCCCAATGCCCCCAAAACCTGTTTTAACTCCCCCAAATACACCCAAAGACCCCCAAAACCCCCCAAATCACCTTCCAACCTCCCCAAAGAGGGATCACCTGGCACCCTGGGACAGGAACACAGTGGGCTGTACTGGGGGCACTGGGCTGTACTGGGAGGGCACTGGGGGGGGCTCAGGTGTCCCACAACAACGTGGCCCAGCTCCAGGAGAGATCCGGGGAGCAATGAGGAGGTACTGGTCTGTCCTGGACTGTCCTGGTCTGTACCCCCAATCCCCAAAGCCCCTCCCCAGCTCCCCCAGGACCCTCCCGCACCCCAAAGCCTCCCAGGCCTCCCCAGGCCCCTGACTTGGTCCTGCTGCCCCTTGAGCATCTCCAACTCCTGCAGAACCAGGCATTTCTTTGCTCCCCAGGGTCGTTCCCACACCCAGAATGGAATCTGGAGGCAGCAGGATGTGCACAGGGCTCCCATTTCCTGCAGTGCAAAGGGGCTGCAGGGAATGATTCCCCTGCTCTTGCAAATCTGCCAAAAGCTGCAGGGCACAGGAGGGGGAGCTTCAGGAATTTGCTGGCATTGGGAGTGGAGCTCACAGGGTATTGAGAGGAACATATCCCTCAAATACAATCTCTGTGCATACACAATATCTGTCTGGACAGACGGATAAAGCAATAATCAGATATATTCTGTATCATATATATGGCACATATTCTATAGAATCCATCCTTAGGTATTGTATGATATATCTATAAGATATTACAAACAATAAGCAGTAATAAGGCAAGTGTCCTCCTTAGGGACACACACTTCAGAAGGGACCTTTCACTTGACACCCCCCCCTCTCTTCAGCTTCGAGCCACCTGGTGCCACAGAGGGGGACAGAGCTCCTGTGGAACATTCTATTCCACTGACACAGAGCAAGGAATAAACCCAAACTACTGCCTGGGTTTGTTCCCTGGGGGTCTCTGCAGCAGCAGGCACAGCCCCACACTGACTGCTCTGGGCTGTGCAGGCATTTGTGGTTCTGCCTGTCTCCCACACACACAAAACAGTCTGGTTAGTGCTGCCCTCAGGAAAACCCCCCAATATTAAATTCAGTCCCCATCGTGTAGTCGTGAAAGAAGTTGTCAGTGAATTTGCCAGAAAGCATGAAAAATAGAAGAGCACACAGTTATACACAAACGCAGGTAATTACTGTTCTGACCACACATTCCAGATTAATTTGGTGCAGTGATAATAAAAATCATAAACCCACGTAACGCTGTGCAAGAGAACACAGATTGACCAAGTGAAGTCAGACATTAACAGAGATAAATTCGAGAAGGTCAGCAGTGCACTGTTTTACTCCTGCTAACACTTGTGGGCAGTCTGACTGACTTCATGTACAGGATGGACGTACCTGTGCCCCGGGGCTGCCAGTGCCATGGTGGGCAGCAGGAACCACAGGGGATGGTGCCAGTGAGGCAAAGAGCCACAGCCAGATATTGGCTTCTGTGTCTGGGCCAGCAGAATGGATTCTGTCTTTCCATTTGCATGGCCCATTGCAGCTCAACAATTTCAGTGTCTGATTGCCCAGGATTCTCTCACACTGAACTTCACAGAGCAGCCTTTGACACTGGTAGGCAAAAGTAGCCTTTAATCCTTGCAAACGTGGAAACTGCACATCCCAGGATATTGGCACAGCACAGCAGAGGAGTCCAGTTGTCAGAAAGGATGGCAGGGGAGAAGTGGAAGGAGAAAGCATTTGCACACCAAAGCACAGGGGTAATGATCAAGGCCTGAAGTCCAGTGAATTCATATTTATTCTCTACACTGAAACTAGGAAGAAAAAAATTGTGTTTAAAGTGACACTACGTTAATTCAGTTTTTGATTAATATATAACAATTCAATCAGGTGCTCATGAAGTGACCTCACTCCCCTCATCCTCCCAATTAAACACCTGTTTTTTGGCTGAATCTTCATATTCTGGAGTATATTTTGGCTGAATCTTTTGCAGTTTGGGGAGGGGTTCATCTTGCTATTTCTGAGGGGCTTTTTGTGTGAATCTTGTTAGTGGTTTGGTTTTTTCTGGGCTGAATCTTGGTGTTTTGGAGGTTTTTATGGTCACAGGATGCCCGGTGAGTTCTAGAGATGGACTTGGGCAGGAGGAACCCCCAAGCCAACACGCTCAGCCCTTGTTTTCCCCCCCATCAGGATTTGTCCTTCCCAAAGCTTGGGCAGATGAAGGAGGCTGCGAGGAAGAGGAAGATGCCTTGGTCCCCCCAGGCAGGTGAGGAGGAAGTCAGTGTCCCTTTGGGCGGGTGTTGTGCTGGCTCTGTCAGCCGAGCATGGCCCCGGCTGCAGGACAACCCCGCTGGCGCCGCCGTCCTGCCGGGGCCGGAGTTGGGGGGATGTCCTTGGCCTTCCCTGTGGGCCGGAGGCAAATCCCCTGCCTGTCCTTCTTGCTTCCTGCCCCAGGCCCCGAGCTGAGGACGGAGAGCCCGGAGGACAAATCCCCCCGGCGGAGCCTGGTGGGAGAGGCCGTTTTGAAGGGCTCCCCGGCGCAGGAAGGCAGCGGGGAGGAAAAGGGCCGGAGATCCCCCCGCAGGAGGGGCTCCAAAGCCAGCCCAGGGTGCTCTGAGGAGGAAAGACCCAGCCTGTGCCGGGAAGGCGGCCGGAGCTTGAGGGGGAGCTCTGAGCTGGTGGTCCCTGAGCAGCCTCCCAGCAGGGAGAAGGTCTTCAGGTGCTTGGAGTGTGGGAAGAGCTTCAGGAAGAGCTCGAGTCTCTTCACCCACCAGCACATCCACACTGGGGCACGGCCCTACCCATGTGGGGAATGTGGGAAGAGCTTCAACTGCAGCTCCCACCTTATCCAACATCAGCGCATCCACACTGAGGAACGGCCCTACACGTGTGAGGAATGTGGGAAGAGATTCAGGCAGAGCTCCACCCTCGTCAAGCACCAGCACATCCACACTGTGCAGAAGCCCTACAAGTGTGGGGAATGTGGGAAGAGCTTTAGGCAGAGCTCCGAAACGATCCTACACCAGCGCATCCACACTAGGCAGAAGCCTTACAAGTGTGGGGAATGTGGGAAGAGCTTTAGCCAGTGCTTTGAACTGATCCTACACCAGCGCATCCACACTGGGGAACGGCCGTATATGTGTGGGGAATGTGGGAAGAGGTTTCAGACCATCTCACATCTCCTCAGTCATGAGCAGACACACACGGATGAGAGGCCCTTCCTCTGCACCGACTGTGGGAAGAGCTTCAACCGGAACTCCTACCTTGTCACCCACCAGCGCATTCACACCGGGGAGAGGCCCTACAAGTGTGGGGAGTGTGGGAAGAGCTTCACTGAGAGCTCTAAGTTGACCAGACACCAACGGACTCACCGGTAAGGGAAGAGAAGCCGTCGAGTACCCTGACTGTGGGAAGAGCTTCGGCCGCTGCTTCCACCCCCAATGAACCCCCTGTTGGTGAGGCAACCCCTGGAGTCCAGTGACTGTCAGTCCATTCCTTTCGACCAGAAAGGGCCAGTCCCCTTTCCCAGGGGCAGGTTCTTCCAACAGAACCCTTCCTGGGGAGGTGTGTGGAGATTCCTGCCTTGGCTGGGGACCCCCCAAGGTCACTGCTGGAGGTTGAGAGCAGAGATCTCCCCACGAGCGTTGGTCTGGGGGAGTTCCATCCATCTCTAATTAAGAATTATTGCTTTTGTGCCAGCTTGAGTAGAATTACTTCAACAATTGCTTTAGTGTAGAGCACTGTTCTATCTTATCCTGTACTCATGGTAGTTTTAGTGTTTGTATTGTGCAGTAAATAATTGTGATGAAGATCTTTTTTCTGATAATTTGTAACCTTAAATAAATTCATTTGTATCAATAGATCTGATTTGCCATCATTAAAACCTGGGGGACAAAAGTGGTTCAGCCACACCTCTCTAATTCCTCTAAACTTAAAATGTTGGCAAGATCCAAGGCTGAGATTGGATCCAGCAGCCCCCAGCACCCCACAGGAAGTTGGGAGCTCAGGGGAACCACTCCCTTTCCCAAAACCTGGTGCCAAAGACCCCCATGGGTCTGCCGGACCCACCAGACAACCCCTCCTTTTCCACCTTCTCCCTGTTCCTCCCACTTTTCCGTGGTCCCCTCAATCCCCAGCCCCCTCAGGATCACTTTTGGGGTCCCAACCCCCACTTTTTCCCCCCATCCCACCCCTTCCACATCATCCCCCCACTCCCCAGCCCCCTCATGCTCAGTTTGGGGGTCCCACCCTCTACTTTCCCCACTCTTCTGACTTCTCCCACTTATTTCCCATCATCCCCCAAACCTCAGAGCCCTTCCCCCTCCACTTTTGGGGGGTCCCACTCCCCTCCCACTCAGTTTGGGGTCCCACCACCCCTCTTCTCCACTCTGACCCCCCTTTTCCCACTGACCACCCCCTTCCCACCCCCACTCACCCGAGAGCTCCTCGCCTGCAGCCGGGGGGGCTCCCAGCACCACCAGTGCCCAGAGAAGTCCCCCAGAAAAGGGGTTGGGTGGAGTCCTGGGTGGGCTTTGAGTGCGTTTGGGGGTCCTTGAGGGGCTGTGGGGAGGTTTTAGGGGGGTCCCAGCACCTCTTGGGGTGAGCTGGGTGCCTGTTGAGGGGCAGGTGCCCTCCCAAATGTCATTTTATTGTAGAATTCTTTCAACAGAAGAACCTAATTTGTCACATAAATAAGGTTGACTCTAATTACAGTACTGAAAAGTCCAGTTGATTTACACAGAATGAAAAGAAAAACCAACACAAAAAAAACCCCAAGGATGAATACCCCTGAGATTATATAAAAATGGCACACTTCATCTAAATTGTGTCCTTTTCTGGGTAAAATTGAAATTGGTCTCAAATAGGTTAATGTGATTGTGGGTAGTAATTTTCAATAATAATCTACAGCTAGATTTCACATGCCCCATTTCCCCCATGTTTATATATTCTTTTTTTAGAAGTATAAGTAAGCTGCAGTTTTGCAGCAGGAAATCTCCTCTACCACAGAGTTCTTCCCAGAGATCTTAAGCACAGCCTGGATCTCATGCCAAGGCTGAGGTTTTGGAAAGGCCTGGAGTGAGACCTCTACAATGAGGTGAATTCCCTGTTCACAGATGATCAATCAGCTCTTCCCAGCTGTTGTGCAGTTTTCCCTTTCTCACCTGGCTCTCCCTAAGCAGGCAAAACCATCCATGTTCTCCCAGGCAACTCCAACTGCTGTTTGGATCTCCGTGTCCCAACTGTCTCGTGCAGCTCCAGAAGACAGAAAGCAACCCCAAAGCTGATCAGTGCAGGGGCCACATGTCTGCAGCATGGAAAGGGCCCAGCTGGAGCTGGGGGAGATCTGCCCAGCCCCAAAAGCACAGGGGGGGAGGCAAAGGGAAGGAGGGAATCGGAAGAGAAGGACACAGTTGGAGTGTCACTGCCTGCTGGGAAAACTCCACAGTTTGATGAGCAGGGATTTCCATTAAGGGGCAATTTAAAGCAACCTTGAGGTGGCCCTTTCTGATGTGTGGGGTCAGGCTGAGCCCCAGCTGGCTGCAGTTTAGGAAAGGGAGCAGCAAAGAGGGCACCTCTGTGCCTCCCACTGCCAGAGGCTGAAGGCACAACTGTTCAGGAAGGAGACTCCCTTCTCTCATCTCTTGCCCTCCACAACACCCCCCCAAAACCAAGAACAGGCACAGGGTGAGCTCACTGAGAGATGTGCTGAACAGCCTGGGAGAGGGGAAGAAAAGAAGAAAGTAGCACTAATGAACATGACAATCAGTTCAATACTGCAGAGCTTAGGGAAGAATTCTGGTTTCAGTAGAACAACTCCCAATTTTCCACACAAGCACTTTTGCAATCCTACCCTTGTATCCCCATGAAATCATCTTTCTGGACAAAAGGAACTGGAATGGACAATGCACAACTTGCCACTGACACTATTTAATGAGCTGGGTCATTGATGAGAGATGTAGGAGAGCTCTTTCCCCCTCCCTGCTCTATCCTGCTGTCTCCTTAAACTGCCTCTGGAAAAGAAATGGTTGCAATTTTTCATTTAAGAACTTTGTTTAAAATATTTCCTGCTCTTCATCAAAATCAGAGATTATATTACTCTGAAGTTAGATAGATATCATGCAAATGTTTGTGAATTTGGAATATTTTTAAATGTGATTTTTTTTCACAATGAGCTTTTTTTAAAAATTTTTTTTCTTTTTAATTTTAAATTCACATGAAGTGACATAAGAGAACATAAGAGAAAAAAAATGAAAAAGAAACACAAGACATAGAACAAAAAGAATCCCATTGGAAAAGAATCTTGGTGGAAAGGAGGAAAGAAGCAAAGAAGAGAAAAAGAGGAGAGACAGAAGAGAGATGAGAGAAGAGAGAGAGAGAGAGAAAGAAAAGAGAGAATAAAGAGAGAGAAAAAGAAGAAGGAGAAGAGAGAATAACAACTGATGTATCCAAAGGACTGAAATTTGACGTAAAGGAAATCTTTCAAAAAAGTTTTATGATGTGACTCTCAGTGCAATACTGAGCAAAATGGAAAAACATCTGTCTCACAGGGAAAAATCTCATATATCCAGGTTTGATCTTTTCTCCTAATTAATTCTGACCTAACATCAGTTTGCTGTGTTTGTTCACTCCTCTAATGAGGCCTCTTGGCTTCAGTGATCCACTTGCAGGAACAAATTCTTTCAGATGCAAATATAAGTTGTATGATAGGATTCCCACTTGTTTGCATGATTAGATCAGGGATCCTGTGATGGGGTTCAACATCCAGTCCCAGAGGTGTTGCTGCCTAAACTAACAGTGGCTGAGATCCCCTGGCTGCAGGAACCATCTCCTGTAGGGATTGAACCAACAGCAGCAGCTACAGGTCCGTAGGGTCAATGTTGGCTGCTGGGAACAAGCCCAAGCCATAGGCAATGCAGGATTCCATAGGCAGTGCAGGATTCCATAGGCAGTGCAGGATTCCATAGGCAGAGGCAGTGCAGGATTCCATAGGCAGTGCAGGATTCCATAGGCAGTGCAGGATTCCATAGGCAGTGCAGCATTCCATAGGCAGTGCAGGATTCCATAGGCAGTGCAGGATTCCATAGGCAGTGCAGGATTCCATAGGCAGTGCAGCATTCCATAGGCAGTGCAGCATTCCATAGGCAGAGGCAGTGCAGGATTCCATAGGCACTGCAGTATTCCATAGGCCGTTTCAGGATTCCAAGGCATAGGCAATTCAAAGTTTCCATATCGTGTGCAGTATTCCTATAGGCAGAGGCCAGTTGCAAATTCCACAGGCAGTGCAGTATCCATAGGCAGAGCAATGCGTGTTACCATGGCGTGCTATTCCCATAGGCAGTGCATGTTTCCATAGGCCAGTGCAGGATTCCATAGGCAGTGCATGCAGATTCCATAGGCAGTGCAGGATTCAACAGGCATGCAGTATTCCATAGGCAGTGCAGCATTCCATAGGCAGTGCACTATTCCATAGGCAGTGCAGCATTCCATAGGCAGTGCACTATTCCATAGGCAGAGCCAATGCACTATTCCATAGGCAGAGCCAATGCACTATTCCATAGGCAGAGCCAATGCAGTATTCCAGAGGCAAACAAGCAGACAGAAAAGGGCAGGTGCTTAAGAGTCCAAAGCAAACTCTCACATCTGTCACTGCTGAACATTCCTGTGCTGTGCAAATCACACACAGAGCACATGAGAGCTTAAAGAAGCCCTTCACTGCTCAGGCCATTCTTTTTTCAGAGTATCTTCCCTTTTCTGTTTCACACAGGAAATACAAACCAATTCTTTGAGGCTCTGCTCTGTGGATGAGTCAGCACCGAGTTACTGAGTCAGCACCAAGAACCCCCCAGAGACAACTCTGCAATGCAGCACAGAATCAGCAGCCAGGACAACCTTCATCTCTCTTGGTATGCCTTGGGAATCCTTTTCTGTTCTCTGCAGGTGATGATTGAACCTCACCTTCCTGCTCCCATCTGAGCAGCAACCTGTCTTCCTCTGCTCTTTGATCAAACAAAACTTCTGTCCAAGTGAATGGCCATGAAAAGGGAATGCAAAAGGGACACACCTACACCAGCTAGAAATGTAAAACCTTTCTTGACAAAAAAAACCCAACAATCAACCAAAACAAAACCACAGAACAAAACTCACAGTGTTCAGGGTGCATTTGCTCAATTCTCTCATTTCCAATTGTTATGAAGAGAACAGTCAGAGGGGTTTGGAGCCTCAGTCACTGTAAATCAGCACATTGGAACTGACTTTCTTACAACTAAAGAACTTGGTGGATTCTGGCTCACTATATTGCCAGTGGTTTATATTACTATTATTAAACAAATTCTCTAAATCTATTCACTAAGTGCTCCTTGTCAGCACTTTCAGCTTCTATTCTAAAACAGGTTCCAAAATGCAGGTGAGTCTCTCTCTATTCTTGGACTAGATCAGCTGTCCCTGATAGAATACACCACCATTCACAGGAAAAAAATGAAATACATAATACACCTCTCACCTTCACAA